AAGCGGTGAAAGGTGCTGGTGGTTTAAACCACCAGTACTTGGCCCGTATATCGGCCGCCAGCCCTTTTCATATATGCGCCGCTACTTTCGAGGCCTCACCACTGTTGATAAATTTCATCAACGACCATTGTTGTGTTAACGCCCTGCGAAAGTCACGGTGAGGGGCCCGTGTCCGATGTATGGGCCAAGTACTGGTGGTTTAATTGGGGCCATGTCCCACTTGCATGGGCTAGGGCCCTCGTTCGGCACATCTAGAAAACTCGTAGAAAACGGGTTCCAAGTTGTTCCACTGCATCCTAATGACGAGTCAAAAAGAAGAATGTAAAAGCATCTTTCTTTGCAATTCTCTAGGCACCTCGCAAGGAGACTTGAGATTCTTCCACTGCGTTGGGCAGACTGGAGGTGACATCATTGAAACTCAATATGTGGTGGAGCTGGATTGACTGAAACTTCAACTTTTCCTTTTTTGTTTTTCTAAATGGCAGCCTACCTTATGACTCGTCCTAGAAACCAGGGGTGGGGGAAGATGAAATGGGAGGTGCAGCTACTGGCAAATGCTCTGCCCTTGTGTTAGCTGGGCCCCCACCGGCGGCCCCAACCCTGCACCCTAAATCACTAGGGCAAGGAGCAAACATTCTATACCTTCCTGCATGGAGAGAGGTAACCCCCCTTCATAAAAAGAGGTATATAGCTTTGCTTGCAGGAGTCCCCTGTATAGCCTTAGGAGTAGTGCTCGGTGAAGAAAAAGGGAAAATTGCTCCTGTATCCCATTTACAGATGGGAATTCCGCTGTACCCAGTGCCAGTGCCCAACTTGCGCCTATACCCAAACCCTGTCCAAATACCCTACTTTCTCGGTGCACCAACTCATGCCTGTACCCGGTCCCACACTTGGTTGGGGCACACGAAATTGCGCTCATGCCCAGGCAAATTTGCAGGTGTGCCCACAGAGCCACTCATTTTAGTTTTGAATTTCGAAATTGGAAATGTGTGGCATCTGCACACCACACCAGCACACCATCTCTACGAATTTGACAAGTCCACAGCTATTTTGGGTGAATCTGCCCACCTTTTTGTCCTACATTCGGTCTAACTAAATTTAGTCCAAAAAGTGGCTGTATGCATTCCAAAATGGCCTGTAGTGGAGAGAGAGAGAGAGAGAGAGAGAGAGAGAGAGAGAGAGAGAGAGAGAGAGAGAGAGAGAGAGAGAGAGAGAGAGAGAGAGAGAGAGAGANGAGAGAGAGAGAGAGAGAGAGAGAGAGAGAGAGAGAGAGAGAGAGAGAGAGAGAGAGAGAGAGAGAATGGCTGGGCTGGATGCATCCTGTGTTTGATTGACGTGCTTCCCAGCTCCATGTCAGCATGAGACTGCCACGTTAGCAGGATTTGCCATGCTGTTTCCGCCAATTAACACCTCCGGTAGTAGTGTAGACAATCGAATCTTACACCTGAAGAATGATAGGCAGGTGTAGAACTGAGTATATGAATACTACAGTTCTACACCTGCCCATTACAGGGTATGCGTGGGAGATGCCTTCCATGTGCAGAGAGTATCTAAAGATGTCCTGCAACCCAACCTTACGTCCGGGGGGCATTGCTTACTCTGTGGGGCACCAGAGGATTTACCTGCCCATTACAGTGTATGCGTGGGAGATGTCTGAGGTTGTAGGATATGACTGAGCCTTTGAGGATGTCCAGCACTGCAGGGGCCGTGTTGGAATTCACAAATGGTGGTTCCCTCCCCCCCAAGGGTTCACCTACCCTCTTACTTCTTTTTGCTTGGTCGTTCAACTGCCAGTACACCCGGGCCTGGAGGCACTGCAGTGCGCGCCAAGCTTTTCCGAACCACAAGTGGCGCACATTTTTTCTTTTTTGGGTAGCGCTGGCAGCCATCGTGGGCTGGTAGGCCCGAGCCGCAAAATTTCCAGTGTAGGCGATGAACATTTTTCTGCAAGGCTGGGCCCGTGCAGTGGCGGTTTAAACTTCAAAGCAGTTGTCAAAGCTAATTTTCTGGGTAAGCAAGACGAACCAGTGATTGCCAGACTGTGAATTGAAACTGTGGTGGTGTCAACCACCAGTCCCTTTCCCAGCTATTTTATTCCGACGTGACAGTGAACCTTCCCGATGGAAAACGCTGCCACTGCCAGTCCAGTACTTGGTGTAAAAGGCAGCAGGTTTTGGAAGAGGGGTCCGGGCAGCAGAGGTGGTTGAAATTTTCTTGAAACGCTTCAACTGCCCCAGGCTTACATTTACCTTTGTGGTGAAGAAACATATATTAAGCCTTAGGGTGTACTCACAGGAGAACGTTTTTCTCTGAGGACTGCATGCAGTGTGAGAAAGGTCATAGGTTGAACAAGGTGGAAGGAGGGGGCAATCAAATGCATGCCTAGATCCAGATGCAGGCCCACATCCAGATCCGACCGGGGTTGTTGGGGGCAGTTTGGGGTTGGTGGGGTATGAGGGTGTTGGGGGGCAGTTTGGGGTTGTTGGGGGCGAGTATGGGGGTGTTGGTGCGGTTATCCGGGGTTATGGACTCCCAGGGAAAAAAAAAAAAAAATCTTTTTGTTTTTTTTGTGGGGTGCCAACGACCCCCGACCGGTAGGTGCCGGCCATCCGACCAGTCAGCTGGTCGACAGCGGACCAGTCAAGGGGCGCCGGCCGTCGGGGTATGCAACACTGGAGCGCATCCAAAAAACAAAACAAAACAGATGGCAAGCTCATCTACAGGTAATCGGGGCAAACATACTTTGGCTATTTGTTTTTTGCCTTTTCACAGTTGAGTGGTCGAGCGAGGCCTAAAGAAAAGAAGCCCAAGAAAGTTTTCGCCACCACGTGCTCGGAGAGAACTCCTGGTGCCAGCTCCCAGCTCCCAGCTCCCAAGTTGCAACACTTTGGCAGGTGGTCTCTGTAATCTGTCTTCAGGAACAAACAATATGTAAGTACCAGAACATCTTCCAGCAGGCGCTTGGTCCCATTTTCCGGTTTTGCCAGACATTGCTTTCTCTGGTTGAGATGTGGCTGCCAGTTCAGGTACCCCCGAAGGTCCTAGAGACACTTATCGATATCCTTCGTAGACATCCCGGAGCTGTCAGTCTCCATGATCATGACATCTGATAAGCAAACGTCATAGAGAATGCAATGGAGATCAGCGGTCATCCGCTGAGTCATTGCAAACAGGAATGGAACTCGCTCAAAAACCATACTGGTACTTGCTCAAGGGATGGGGGATGGCACTTGATCACATTTTGCAACTTGAGCTGTTGGATGGACTACAGTGTCAATCGGGCCTTTGTCGTTTCCTGTAGTCCTGGTGCCTAAGAATAATGGAGCCATCTTCATCTTGCTTGGTTATCAGAAGCTGAACACCATCACGGTGAAGGATGTGCTTCCTCCCCTGAGGATTGATGATTTGGTAGAAGCGACTGGAGCTGCCAGATTATTTACCAGTCAGACTCTGATACCAAACAATGCTTCCACCATGCCCCAGTTCTTCAGGAGTAACTGCCTGTGCTTTTCAAAGGAACCTGGAAGTGAACCAGTGTCTGATGGGCCCTGGCAACGTACTAGCAGGCCACGAATATGGCCCAGTCTATGACCAATTTGTGTGTGAAGTTGTGAACGTATACATGGATGTTATTGTGGTCTTTTCAAGGTTGGATGAGGGTCACACTGAGCACGTCGAGTGGGGGTTTGCATGACTCGCAGAATGTGGAATCCAAGGGGACCTTGGAGAAGAGTGAGGGCATAACAATTTTAGCAAACCCCTTGTAGAAGGGCCGATCATAGGAAGCCAGTCCAAGAACGCTTGAACTTGCATCAGGGTCACATCGAGTGGGGGTTTGCATGACTCGCAGAATGTGGAATTCAAGGGGGCTTTGGAGAAGAGTGAGGGGCTTAGAGATTCTAGCAAACCCCTTGTAGAAGGGCCTATCATAGGAAGCCAGTCCAAGAACGCTTGAACTTGCATTAGGGTCACAGGAAGATGAATCTCCACCATGACTGCAATCTTTCAGATGAAAAACAGGAGCCTCCACCACGACTGCAGACTTTCATGGTACAGGTTTCAAACAGTCAACCGTAGCCGCATACGGCTCATAGCCTTAAAATGAAATCTCTGAAATGAAAAACTCACTCTTCTCCAAGGTCCCCCTGAATTCCACACTCTGCGAGTCATGCAAACCCCTACTCTCTGAAAGGAAGAACTAACCTGCTCAGGATTGGAGGGCCTGGTCGGGAGACCTAGCTGCAATGTGGCCCTGTAGGTACTAACGACGACGTTAGTGACACCCCAGGTCCTGGTCAGAGTCAACCCCAACTGGCGCAGTATCACCAATTTCGATGCAGCATGATGAGGAGGAAACGAGAGCGTGTCATTGACTGCGGTAATAACTTTGGGACCATGGGTGGTATGGCTGTGGGAGTTTTGACTTCAACATGCGCCATTGGTCCACACAACAGCACTGTAATACAGATGAGGTGACGAGGCTGTAGCCTCCAGTGTGAGATGATCTTGCGGAGAGGAAAGGACATGAATGTGCCACATGGAAGAGAGTGCAGGGCACTAAAGGGTCCTGAAAAGTTCTTTGCTGGATCTCACCAGTTTGACTGAATCTGGCTGCAGTATCTAGCAGATTCAGTTGCAGACTCAGTTGGAAAGTCTGATTGTGACTATGCCCTCACACTATCAGCTAATTTGTAACATTTGCTTAATTGGCTTCAATGGCTTTGGATAAGGTTTTCACTTTCCTTTTCCTTTCTCTCCCTCCCTCCCTTCCTCTCTCCCTCTCTCCCTCTCCCTCCCTTCCCCCCCCTCCCTCTCTCTCTCTCTCTCTTTCTTGGGGGCCGCGGTTGCAGCCCCTGATATTATTGTTTGTGGTGAACACTTCTTGAAGTTTGAGCTTGTGACCTTCCAGTCAACACTTAACGTCTGGGCTTACCATTCGTTTGGATATTGGACTAACAGCTAGTGACTGTGATAATGGTCATTGTGCTGGTTACTTGCAGGTACTGATTTTCTGATGAAAAAGCTCAGCGTTCGCACAGGCAAATATGTAGAAACACTCCTGCGAGTACGCAGCACCTCTATTTTAAAGTTGCCACCAGAATATGCTGATGATGAGAAGGTAAGTGGCAATCTCTCACAGTTAGGTTACTGGGATTCCTGTGCCTGGGATAATGGAAGCGGATGCTATTCTGAGTCCGTCTATCTGTACCTTTGTCTGTCTGCCTGGCTGTCTACACGTCTATCTATCTGTCTGTGTATATGCCGATTTGTCTATCTGTCCCTTTCTCTGTCTGTCAATCTTGTCCATCTGTCTATCTGTCTATCTGCCTACCTCTGCATATATGCATGTCTATGTCTATATATATGTGCATCTGTCTGTCTATCTCTGTATATGTATATCTGCCTGTCTTCCTGTGGGATTAATGAGTACATATATTTCTACACATTCCAGTTCTCCGATGGGCCCCCTCAAACCACTGGTACACAGCCCCAGCCTTGCAGAGCGAAACTTGTCGCCACCGCACTGTAGCACCGGAACTTGCGGGGCGCGGCCGCCATTGATGAATTCAATAGGCGGCCTCCGAAGCGTTACCGGACTCCGCAAGGGGCCCGTGGCCGATGTATGGGTGTATTGACATTACTGGTGGTTTAAACCACCAGTCTCTTCCGAGCCTCTTTTTCCTGAGGCTGATTCTGCTGTGCACCGAGTTTTACTGAAGCGGCGCGGGTGCATTTTTTTTTTTTTTGGCTGGCCCGCATGCCTGTTTTGACTAGGTGGGCCAGGCCCCAAAAGTTGTAGCGCATGCACAACCCTGTCGTGAGAAAAGGTTGTTGGGAAACGTACTGGTGGTTTAATCTGAACAAGGGGGGAACAATCGATCATCATTATGGTCGATAGTTCACTTAATGAAGGACTCTCTTGCATTCACCTTAGCGCTGAAATATCACACCAAGTTCAAAAGAAGCACACTGAAGAAATTTGGTCCACAGTTTCAATGTGCTGAGATGGGCGGTTTAAGTGCAGGGTAAGCTCATTACTGCCTGTTCTTCTCGGTCTGTCTTCTATCAGTCTCTGTAAACCTGTCTGTATGGTTATATGTCTCTCTACCTCTGTCTGTCTGTCTATCTATCTGTCTGTCTACGTGTCTGCCTATCTGTCTGTTTATCTGTGTATCCTTCTATCAGTCCTTCCGTCCATCTATTTTGCATTTGGTTCAAGTTACAGTCTAGATTCCTCTCTGTGTGCTTGTTCTCGTTCTGTCTTTCTATCTGTCTGTCCCGATCTGCCTATGTGTCTGTCCGCTCCGTCTCTTTTTTTTTTTCTTTTTTTTTCCGAGAAAACAGAACCTTACGCTTCTGGCTCCGTTCCATTCTGGGGAGCATCAGTCCGGTTCCGATTCCACCGGCAAGTCAAGAGTAGTTACAGCAGTTACTCACGCACACTCCTTCCCATTATGGTTGGTTGAGAGGCCTGAGTGGACGGCATTGATTACTTCCATTTGGAAGGATGTACCACCTCTCACCCCTGCCTAAGTTATCCTATATCTGTCTTTGGATTTGGAGTTTGGCCCTACTTTGTCTGGTAGGATTTCTATTTGTAAGCTATTGTCTGCCCCTTGAAGCCTAGTCCTACTTGTTCCTCTCAGCTCTATGGCTGTCAACTTTTGCGTTGCGTACTGGAATTACTTAGCAGGCCTATTGCTGTCGGGACTTCTAAAACCCTAAACCCTAAGGCTCTGGCTCTGTACTTACTATGAGATAAATCCTGTTCTGTCTCTGTTCTTCTTCTGAGGACTAGTACCCGATGCCTTCTCGTGCTATGACTCCTTTTGCTCTTGGTTTCTATCTCGAACTAACCGATGTGGTCTCTTTTATCCTTGATACGTTCTAGTGTTGCAGTCCGTAGGGATGAATGTGTTTTCCGGGTGCCTGGGGTTAGGGGTTATCAGAAGGAGGGATTATAGACTCAGGGGTTGACTGTTAAATGCAGGGGAGATGGTATTCAATGTGGGTTAGTGGGGTTTGACAGCAGTGGGATACGTGATGGTGTTTTGTGAGGGTTTTCGAGGGGGCAGGTAGATGGTAAGGTGTGGGAGGCGAATGGGATGGGTGTTTCGCTGGTCAGGGGGTTGGTTTTGCATTGGGGTTTGGGGGGTGGTGGTGCTCATGCTATGAGTCGTGGTGCTTAGTGGATGGTTACAAGTAGTGGTAATGGATAAGGGATTTAGAGTTGGCTAAAATTTTGGCTCATAGTCTGTCTGTCTATAGTGCATTGCTTTAGGGGGGGGGGTTCTTTTGCAGGTTTTCCTGAGTTCGAGATTGCTGTGGCTTGGAGTGTGTCCGCTCCGTCTTTATATCGGTCTATTTACCAATTTTTCATTCGACCATTCTATCATTCTATCAGTCCATCTATCCTTTTTCTTCTTAAACTGAATGGGGATAAATCTGGTGCACTGGAAAGACTGAATTTGTTTTAAACTGCTCAGAAGTGCAGGAACTGTACAGCAGTGTTTGAATCTTCCCAGGACATGCTACCTGTGATTTGTATATTCCTAGCACGGGTACAATCCTGACTACCTTAAAAAAAAAAAGAACAATCCTGGCTACCTGAGCTTTGTGCCGAACTGATCATCAGATGTTCTCGTTGCCTCAATCGACGGATAAGTGAACTCATGCAGTTCTGCATCCTCAAATTTAGGGTCCATATCTAGTCATTTGATGCTTTTGTTTTCCCTTGAATACACAGATGAGGGAATGAATGCGGCACATGGGTCACTCTGCATCATCAGGTTTTCTTAAACCATCAGTACATCCGAGCACCTCTTTTGTACAAGGCTGATTCCCCCTGCGCGCCAAGCTTTGCCAAAACGCTAGCGCGGCATTTTTGTTTTCGTTTTACCTGGTGCCACCAGCCATTTTGATCCGGTTGCCCCGAGCCCTGGAATTTTTCAGAGAGAGCTTCTCGTTGTTCTCATGTTGCCTGTGCCCATGTACTGGTGGTTTTATCATTCCCACTTTTATCATGTCACTAGACGAGTCTGCATGGTCCTTCAATTTCGTCCTCTTTCTCTCCCTTCTCCTCCTCCATCTCCACCTCCGCCCCCTTGCTGCGTCCTCTTCCTCCCCGTGATTTGGTGTTCTCTTTTCAATCCCTCCTGGGCCTTCCCTGTTGAGCGATGAAAGATGAAACAGCAGGCACACTTTACGAAGCAAAGATTTAATACAATGGAACTTCAATAAGAGGTGAATACAAGATAGGCAATAATCTCAGAATCTGGGCTACCAGTCGGGCCACTGGGGTCACCTTGGTTGCCCGAGCAGCCCGGCCATGCAAGGGCGAGGGTAGGACCCAGCAAAACAAAGAAACAAACAAAAAAAAAAACAAAAAAAAAAACTGAAGACTACGTTATGTGGAAAAATAAACTGAACGACTTTTGACTCAGGGTCACATGGAAGTTCTTTACCAAATTTTCAAAAAATGTTTTTTTTTTTTTTTTTTTTTTGGACCACGCTGGGCAAGTGGTCCCGGGCCACTCTGGTTGCCTACTCAGAACCCAAGGTAGACAATAAAATCCGACAGGGGACTGACACTTCCTGTTGTGTGTGTGCTAAAAACCTGGAACTGAATTGGTATGTTGCCTGTTTGTTTTGTGAATTCTCTCCCAATTGTTTATGGTTTGTTTGCAGACTCTTTCAGAGAAAAAGGTAGATATGTACGATATACAGCGAATTGAGACCATAAGTGATGATGACCAGGGTGTGCTGCTTCATTTGAGTTCTCGCGTGATGAGACTGTCATCAAGCGATGCGATGGCATTTGTACTTACCATACAGCAGAACATGAGGGTGAGTTTTCTTTTCTTTTGTGCTCCCCCCCCCTTCCCCCTTCAAGTGGGTAGGCCCTTACGTTATTGTTTTTGTCGGATTCCGCGAGCATTGAAACTTACCAACGGTAGTCGCATGGGCTGGGTGAAGGTAAGGTGACCTTTTGATGTTTGTGAAAAGATTGTATAAGAAGATTGCATCTTCTCAAAATCATTTGGAATTTCGTTTCCCCCCCATGAAGTAGGTAATTTGTGTTTGCAGTATTCCATGTTTAGCTGACTGACAACGTGATAGCTTTCTCAAGTTTCTCTCCTGTTTCCTCCCCTCCCCCCCCCCCCCCCCCCAAATCAGCAGTACCTTTCACAGGCAACGGAGGCTGNCCCCCCCCCCCCCCCCCCCCCCTTCTAAATCAGCAGTACCTTTCACAGGCAACGGAGGCTGAAGCGTGTGTTGAACCACTGCAATTCGTGATTTTTGGGGGTCGTTCTACCAGACATCTTTGACTGGCAGCTCAAGCCAGAAAGAAGGGGAAAAAAAAAGCACCACAGCTGCTGGTTTTGTTTCTGGTGCGCAGCACAAATCCGCATTGGAAAAAGAGGTTTGGAGGTATTGGCGGTTTAAAAACAGACAAAAGGGAAAAACAAATCCAAGGAAACGAAAACACGAAAACGTAAACAAAGGCAAAGAACAGAAGAAACTTCGATTTCATATCTATGATGCAACGTTGCAAAGTTGCATACCTGCAATCAGACTCGCTTTCTTCTTCGCTGCGCATACATGCAAACAGATGGCGAATCACACTGGCGCACAGTGCCCATGGAAAACTCAGAGATATGGAAATCGAGAACTCAGTTCAGATGCAAACTTGCTTCCACAGGCTATGTCGCATAAGCGTCTGCACATCCAACCCTCGATACTGTTTCCAACACCACTGTTCACACTCACTCAACTCTGAATCACCCTGAATGCCCCACACACATACACACTCTTGCGTCTCTCTTCTATCTACAGCAGCTATGGCCGCTTAACCACTAACTATGGCCACACCAACTTCTTCCAGCCCACTTCGTCTTCAGGCGCTCTGCAGACCACCTCGCACAAGTCGCTTGAGACAGCGCTTCCGCATGGCTTACGCAGCGAATGAATCAATTGCTGGACGCTGCCTCTTGATTTATACTTCTGTTGGTCGCTGGTCTGCCCCTTTCCTCCAGGCCATCGGTGCACACAGTCCCACACGGTACTTGCTTGACTGGACTGCGACTGACTGGACCGGTACCGCTGACTGCACGGGGTTGCACTGCCGACTCAATGGGGTCGCACTGTCTTCTCGACGCAGCTTGACCTACGACTTACCTACAGACCTCTAGCCCAGCAGTTTCGACCTCTACACAGCTGTAACCCCTACTTGACAGGTCTACAGATCGAATCCCTACAACTACAGGGACCTACGACCAAGCACAGTCACTACTAAAACACAGGTCGTGGGTTCAAAACACACAGGGGTCTACTCGATACTGTACACGGGCGTAGGTAAGGTCTAGGGATCGAACCCTGGGATCTGCATCTGCGTCTGCAAATGTGAAAACGGTTTCAATACCCAAAAAAGAAGAAAAATCAAAGAAACAAATGCCATAATACCATATCTATGGAGCTCTCTTTATTCTCTTCTCCTTCTTTTTTTTTTTAAAATGAAAACAGAGGAATGTTCTTCCTGCTTGATTAGCTTTCTCATCTCTTTGTTCTCCTCTCTTTTTTTTTTTTTTTTTTTTTTTTTTCAAAAAACAGGACCTTATGGTCCTGGCTCCTATCCATTCTGGGGAGCATCAGTCCGGTTCCTATTCCACCGGCAAGTCAGAATAAACAATACAACCAATAAACACACACGCTTCCTCCCGTCTGGCCGAAGGACCCCTGAACAGCATTGATTACTCCAGACTGCTGGAGGATTGACTGTCAGCTTGCCATGCTTCCCTCTTACCTCTCAGATCTATTCACTAGATCTGCCAGACATACCGTAGCATCAAGAAAGAGGTTACCCATTACCCAGGCTAACCCTTAGGTCTCCTACTTCGACTTCACCCCTATGTCTCATTACCCCCTTATCCTCCTCATCCCCCGTTACCGAAGTGGCATCCAGTTCTAAACCCTGAACCCCAAACCCTCGTCATATAAAAGAGTTTTCTGAGCCCACTAAACCGCCAACACGTCCCCTCGAACCAGTTTCCAGGGGTCCCTGACCTCCTTGCCACTGTTGGCTCAAATGGACCACAGTTCCCTTTTTTAGAACAAAATTTTGCTATTCTGAACCCTATTTGCCCCTTTTCCATTTTCGTCTCCTTCTTGGTTGGGCTCACTTTAATTCTTATGGTAGCCTGTATCGACCGCTGAACATCTATAGTGTCGTCCTGGTGCTCCTCTTTGAACCAATGAAAGATAAGTCTTTCCCCTTCAACAGTCGCGACTTTGCCTTGGGCTAATACCCTCTTGTGAAATTTAGATAAGGTATCCTTTGCCTTTTCTGGGTTAAGCGCCAATTGCTTCTTTATTCNAGTCGCGACTTTGCCTTGGGCTAATACCCTCTTGTGAAATTTAGATAAGGTATCCTTTGCCTTTTCTGGGTTAAGCGCCAATTGCTTCTTTATTCGTCTCCACAATGCCCTAATCTCTGTCTCCAACAAGTTATAGAGAATTGCCTTGGCTTCCCTTCTTGTCACCAGAGTCTTACCCACCGCCTGTTGACATCTTCGTTTCCAACTTTCCAGATTGTCCATAGAGTGTACTGTCTCAGGAGTTGAAAGATATATTTGTTGCATGATCTCCATCCTTTAGGCAACTCACTTCCAATCAATATTAGTTTTTTGTTACTTGGAAAGGGAACGTCCGTAGTATGTGCCCATAATGCCCTGGATATGGACCAGAGATGTTCTGCTTCCGGGCAATAGAGCAAACAATGGATCAGAGTTTCCGACACCCCTCCCGTACACATAACACAGTCCTGATCCGCCTCATTCCTATTATTGAATAACCAAACATTGATTGGGAGTGCTACGTGAAAGATAAGCCACTGCAAACTCCTGACCCTAGTTAGTCTGATGCTGTGCAAATTTGACCATGGTAACCCGTGCAAAAGTTACAATGGTCAACTGGGCGATGTGTCCAACTGGCGTGATCTCCCCCTTAGACGGTAGCCACTTTAGTAGTGTACTGAAGTATATTGATTCTCCTACTTACTGTTGACGAACTTCCCCTGATGTTCCACGCCCACTCTGCTGGATCGATTTGCAGATCCCTAATTGATGTCAGTGGTTCAAATATCATAAAATCTTCATTCTCCACCACTCTGATCTTTCTCAAGATGCTTTTCTTGATGACTATCGGAACCCGTGAATCCCTATCCAACTTACTGACAGTGAGTCCTGGAGAAAGTATTGTGTACATATCTGCTTCCACCCACTGGTTAAAAGGTCTGACCTCCTTTCGTATACAAAAGGCAGCCTCTGGTTCATTGGTAGAGGTTAATGTTGCCCAATCTCCCCCTCCCCATTTGTTCGGTTCCTTCAATATCGTTGTCCACTCATCYRGGATGGAGATGAGAATGTCATTCAGGTTTTCYRTTAGTTTGTGACATCCTTTCATTTCCTCTCTCAGCTCCCTACCTGTTTTCCATCCCCCCTTGTGGTCCGACCAGAGATGTTTTACCTGCCATACACCATGTTCTAACCACTTCCCCCATTTGGCGTCTTTTGCTGTTAGTGTTCTTGGCCTTCCTTGAGAGTCTTTTAACCACGGATTACAAAATAGCGGTTGTCTGAGCACCTCATCCTYCGTCCTCGGTTTTCCTACTCTCGCYKGGAAGACCTCTGCCCATATTTTGAACAATTGAGCCYAGTATGTACCCCTAGTTGCTCTTTGGTCTACTACTTGATCCCCAGTTCTATCCTTCTTAGTCCAACCCTTGCAGAATAACCAAAATGTACCCTTCATAGTGGATGGAGTTTTATATCTTGCCATCTGACGTATGTGACCGAGTACCGATGGGACCCATCGAAGGTGAGGCTGTGTTAACAGCTTTATGATCCACTTAGTTTGAAGTGCCCTTGTCTGCTGCCCTGGATCCAGGACTCCTAACCCTCCCTTATCCTTTGGTTGGATAACTTGGTTCCATGCCACCTTTGATATAAAGTTGAGTCTCGAAGGGTTTGCTGTCCGTAGATATGCTGACGCCACCTTCCTCAGCTTTTGTAGTGTATCAGCTGGTGGTGACCATATCTTTCCCATGTACCATAGCATAGAGAAGATGGAAGCATTTATGACCAACGCCCTCCCGAACAGTGAGGTATGTATTTCTGACCACATCGCCAACTTTAATAACATTTTTGTCATGTGTTCTGGCGCCATAGAATGATTGGGACCCTCACCCGACATTCTGATACCCAAATATCTCAATGTCTGATCCTGTGGTAACCACGTCATCCCTTCATAATTTTGTGGCTGATAATGTGTTCTCCTCTCTTTTTCTTTTTATCAATAATCTGTTTTCTGAACGCTAATTTGATTACTGTAGCATGATGGATTGAGCAACAGCGAATGGTCTCAGTTTTTCCTTTTATGGGCGCGGGGAGGAATCTCGTGGGGCCAGTCTTCGATCTCTTCTTGGTCCATCACTCAGCCTTTTTCACAATTATGCAGCAAAGCATCTGAGGTCTGCAGTACATTGCTTACTATTATTTTCAACACTTCAGCCTAATGCCCAGAACCACATCTGTTGCCGCTCCATGTTCTTTTCACTTTTGACTTCTTCCAGGGGTACCTTGGTATCGACATTGAGGCAGAAAGGATAACAACTCAAGACATGCTACAAGCTGCAGCTGATGATAATGATCGCTTGGTGAGGTTTGCCATTATTATTGGTTGATTGAACTTTATTGAAGTTTATTCTTTTTTTTTCTTTTCTTTTTGGGCATGCTAATCTTCTCTGTATCGTTCCAATATTAACGGATGTCCCGAAGGACATTATTGGTTGAATCTGCATCCTGAATCCTGATAGGGTTTCCTTGAAAATGAGAACAACCCTTGATGGAACTTGCCGAATTTTCGTGGGAAAGGGAAGTTCTTTGCATTTGGGATCACATGTGTTAATTCAACTGGGTTTGCACTTGACAAAGGAGAACAACCCTTGACATATTTCTTGATTGAACAGGGGTTTGAACCTTGGAAGTTGTGAAGGAGAGCAACCCTTGACATATTACTATGATAGTATGATATTATTAGCTGATGCAACAGGGTTCCGAACGCCCAGGGTTGAAGCTGTCGTACCTGCCATGTTTCCCTGTTGGGGGGAGGGGTTATTCAAGTCACGGGCAGCCCCAGGGCAAAATCTTTGAAACAATGATTTTTTATTTTTTGGGTTGAAATGTGCTTCCTGTTGTTCCTTTCCTCTTGGACTGCAACCGACAAGGGATTTGTCGGGAGTTGTTTTGTTGGCATAGTAAATGCAAGCTGATGGATGTGGCAACAGATGTGGCAACTGATGTGTTGAGAATGCCCATGGCATCACCCATCTCATCCGTACCATTCGCATTGCCACTGTCATATAGGACAGAGACTCTTTTAGTTTTCTTTGATCTTTCCTGATGCTCTCAATTTTATCCACATTTCTGACTTTCGCTTTGTTTTCCTTTGCTCCGTCTTTCCTCTCCCTGTATGCCGTCTCCCTTTACTCTTCCTCTTTTTTTACAGCGTGCAAGTGGGGCCCCAAAATGCTATGGTGTAGGCAGCTTGCGCTCAGCTACACCAACATGGCGAGCGTTGTAGGGACAGCGGAGAGAAGAAATAAAATGGAAACCATGAAATGAGCCAAGAGAAGGAAAGGCAAGAAAGAGCTGGACAGAACAGAAGTAAAAGAATGTATTCAGTGTGCCTCATGCTGTGCTCTCTTTTCCTTCTTTGTTTCACAAGTGCGGTCTTTTAGTTGATAGATATGTGTGCCAAATTGACAATATGTGCATGCGTACTTCTTATACATTTTATTCCATATATACCGTCGAACAGAACTGCCCAGTAAACCTTAGGCAGAGAGGGAGAAGAGGACACACAAAAAAAAGGGGCTGTGACAGACTGTTTCGTCGGAGTTTCACTGACTCATCACGACCTTACCGAGATACGTAAGTGATAATCCACCTTAACCCCGGTGGCGGTTAAGCATCAAGGACTACCCGACAACTGATACCCTGAGGTCGGGCACCAACCACTCCCACATATATAGGTCTCAGGTAATACGACCTATTGTCAGGCAAGAAGTTCTCAATGCAGGTATACGAGGACATTTCCAAGTTATATAAATCACTCCTGCCCTTGCATGGAAACAAAGAAAAAGAAACGAGAAAGAGAAACTTGAGAATGCCAACAGGGAAAGAAGGAAGGAAAAGAAGAGGGAAAAGGGAAAACCTCAAGAGCTATCTGTCCCTCAAGAGCTGACCTTGATTTCTGATTACTGTCTGTCTTCTTCCTTTATTTCTCCCTCCTTCCCCCTCCCCCCCCCCCCCCCTCCTCTTCCCCCCTCTCCACTTTCCTCTCTCTTACATGTGTTTTCGAACAACAACTATCCTCCTCTCAGTTCCTTGGACGCCCCGTCACACAATTCCTCCCTTTCTTCTTTTGCTGCTTCACCGCTCTTAGTGCACTAGCCAACCAGACAGTGTTCTATTTCTAAGGCTTATCTATGCTGTGGATCACTTGTCCTCCTATCGGGCAGAGCAGGGAAGCGTGCCTGTGCTCTGGCCACCTGTTTTGGACGAACAAAGGTATGATTGCTCTTGGCTGTGAATAGCACAATGGCTGCCAGACTGGCTGTAATGGAATGGCTTCTATAGCCAGATGTGCATAGGTCTGATCTCACTGTGTGACAGTGTGTTTTGAGCTTGTAGCTGAACTATTCTGTCCAATGGAGCATGGCTGTGTTATGTACAGGGCTAAGGTGCTATGGTCGTTCTGTTTGGTTTCGCAGACAACCAAACCTCACCTTTATGAATTTGTTGCACACAAGAAGGTGAACCCCGATGGGAGGCTGCGAGATGAGCGGTTGCTTAGACTCACTCACAAGGAAATGATTGAGCTGTTGGTGGACGAGGTTGTGTGTGAACACAGGTGTGTTTTCTTCTGTTCTTCTTCTTCTTTGTCTATTGTTGCCGTCTTCTTCATCGTTTCCTTGCTTCGTGTCCGTCTTGCTTTGTCTTCTTTGCATTTTTTTCCTTTCTTCCTTTCTTCCTTTCTTCCTTTCTTTCGCTCTTTCTTTCTTTCTTCCTTTCTCAAATATCAATTTTTATCAGTGTTGCATACCCCGACTGTCAGCGGCCCTTGACTGGGCGGCTTCTGGTCGGCGGGTCGGCACCTACTAGTCGGGGTTCGTCGGCACCTACTAGTCGGGGTTCGTCGGCACCACGCAATTTTTTTATTTTATTTATTTTATTTTTTTTTTGGGGGGGGGG